CGTGAATAATTATTCAGGTGATTTCGGAGGATTTCAAACCGCTGGTGTTGTGCAGCCACTCCAAAAAGAATTTCAAGAACTTTTTCGTATTTGGCAACTACAGCTACGATTTATGCAATGGTGTATAGGTGAGAAAACGAATATTACAGACTAAGTAATTATTCTTCCAATGTAATATAATGTAATGTATAAGAAATTATTATTAATCATACATTTTATGAAAAATTTTTAAGGCTCTTTCTAATCATATGCTGAAATGAAAATTAGATTTATCATTAATTCATCGCATTAAAAGTTCAACAGATTTTATCATAATGGTTTATCTTTGAAGAGCAACAATATCCATAACAGGCGGTGTGACAACAAATCCTTCAATGCCTCGAAGAGAAGGTTTGGGATGGTCAGATGGCAATGTGAAACGTATTCTTTGCAATAAACTTGCCATAAAAAGGAAAACTGTATTTTTCGCTAAAGTCTCGCCTAGACATTTTCTTCGCCCTATGTAAAATAAATGCATAGCTATTTTATTGTAATTCTTATATTAAAATGATTTTTCTGCCTCTTAATTATTTAATCAACCTGTTTCTTGAACTTACCTAATCCGAAGGGCATTAGCCAAGAATCGGTAATGAATTTTCCGTTCTCGTCGATGAACCTTTCCGGTCGGAACACTTCCGGATCTCCCCAATGTTCTTTGCTCATATGAACGCTCTTAAAATTAGCCAACAGCGTGTAATTTCGTTTAATCTCATAACCCAGTAAATCTGTGTCAACTATCGCACGATGGGGTATAGACGTTGGCCCGACATTAGCTAATCTCGACACTTCAGCTAAAACTGCTCTCAAATATGGCAATCTTAAAAAATAGGAATATACTCATATTTTAATTATTATTTAGTAAAAATATCGTACATATTTACTTAATATTAATATTGAATATTTCTGATTATTTTATTAAGATAAAATCTTTACCTGTCTTTGTCATTCAAAGACGGATAAACGTCTTTACCAACGACTCGACTGATCTCGTCGTATACTTTAGCTTGTACGTCTTGATGGACGACAAGAAACGCTATCACGAAACCAATAGTGTTATTAGTTGTGTCAACGCCAGCAGCAAATAAATCCTTTATCACGAATAACAATTGAGTCTCTAAAAAAAAAATATTAAATAACTTTATAATAATAAAGAATAAAATGTTTGCATTATTACCATTGAAAAACGTGTAACCCGAATTCGATTCTTTTTGCGCTTCTATTTCTTTCAAATAAGCATCTATAAAATTTGTACATTGGTCGTCGATTCCGTGTCGCTTGTGTTTAGTAATTACGTCCTACAAAAATAGGTGACTGCAAAGTACGAAATTAATAAATTATTAGCATGACGAACAGCTTACTGCGAAGAAATTGTTTATGCGTTTCTGTCGTTCAGCGAATACCGAGAACCCTGTTAAATTTGGGAACAGGTGTCTCAGGAATGGGAAATAATTTAAAATACCGCCAGGAACGCTTGAGTTACTTGTGAGACTTTGTAAAATATTGATCGCTTCCGCCAGATTCGGATCTTCCGTTCCGACATCAAATCTGAATTTTTACACATTTTTACAAACTTTATTATTCAGATTCCTTTCTTTAAATGAATCTCGTAGGCTTACATACTTTGTACCATCTATCAGAAACCATAGGCTGCTCAAAACGGCCGCTGAGACAACAGAGCTAATTGTTTTAATCGTACCCCTTCTCGTTAACTCGAGAACGACATTTGTTAATGTGATCGCATCGTGTTTCAGCATTTCTTCCATCGAGTTTTTCCCGAAACCGTATTGCTTTAGTGTTTTCAATGCAAATCTATTGACAACAATGGAATATAAAATTCAGCTTCTCGAATTACATATTAAGATCACTATGCCAGAATTATATACATTCAAAAGTCAAATCGATTAATTTCACATTTTATACCAAAACCTAAGTCTTAGTTTTAAAAATCGAGTAAACTCATTTAGGATCTGTATGGCTCAAGTAGAGCTTAGAATTACATTGCATAATATACCTTCTTTGATTTTGCCAAACATTTGTATCCGTAAACAGTATTCCTTGTCGAGTGCCACCGGTTCTATATCTAAATAGGAATCCGTTTGGTCTCCCATCGAATTCCGCCCGATTTAGCATCTCCGTGATAGCCGGTTTGCCAGAAACAATGATCATCGGTTCATCAAAACCTAATCTGATACCGACTACTGGTCCGTATTTTTCAGCCAGTCGACACCAGGCATCCGCGTAGAATTTCGTTTCGTTTACTAGTCGTATTATGTCGAGGATATTTCCAATTAATGGTAACCCCTTAGGACCTTGAATATTTTAATATTATGCACATATCAATTTTCTTCAACAAGATTTGCTTGTTTATCGTATTTTATTATTTATTACCTGGTGGAAATTTTTGCGGTCGATTATAACTGTGGCATACTTTCAAAATTAAAATAGTCACGATGAACAGGATGATGAACCACATTATTAA